AAGAAAGGGGGCCAGGAGGTGCTGGTTTCTCCCCACCCTGCTCCTCAAACGGCAGCAGACCCCCCTCTGCTTCCAGCCCATCAGCTTCTGTTCCATTGTGTATAGATACAAATGGGGTTGCTGCGTATCCTTTACTCCTCCTCCAGAACCGCACCCGAACTATTGAAACGCAGATGTCGGTGAAATAACGTATCTCTGGTGGCTTGTCTACCCGTATCCCTCACCGCTGAGAAATAACTCACGGCAGCGGGTTAAGCTGACAATAAACACAGGAATTGACTTCAGTAGGAATGAGCTTGCCTGGCTGTTGACAAAAATCTAAGGTGATGCAACCTTCGCTGGGCTTATTGCTTGCTCAGGTGGCAGCCTCGCTGTGCTGCTCCCTTGGGACTGGGATGAGGGACAAAGGCCCTAGGGTGATGAAAGAGTCCCTGTCCCTGAGCCAAAAGGCAGGTCGAAGTGTCCTGCAAACGGCTGGGGCGTGGCTTTTGTGGTGAGCACGCACTTTGCCATTGAGAAAATACCGTGCAATAGAGTAGGCAGTGGGAAAGGTCTCTTCTCTTCCCTCCCTGCTTGAGCAGTTGGCAAAGATCAGGCAAGGGCCGGCAGCTGCCTTCCTGTAATCCTGGCCCCGCTCTGGGGTGAGATGGGGCAAGGGAGCCCCTCCCCCATTCTCACCAAGGCACCCCTGGTGCAGGCTTGTAGAGCAGCCTGGCCCCAAGGTAGGACACTTAGGGGAGTGGCCAAAGCCCCAGGGCTTCAGCGTCCAGCCACCGCCAGCAGCCAGCCTGCTGGGTAGCAGGAAGGGAGCTGAAGGTAGGCAGGCCTCGGCAGAGGGCACTCACGTCCTAGGAATCTGCACTCAGCCACTGCACGCTCTACTCCGTGGTTTCCCAGGGAAGCAGAGATCATGAATCTCGGTAACTCGAGCTCGGGGCCTCATCACTCACCGCGATTGTGGGGGATTGAGAGCCAGAGCGGAGCAGTCTAAACAAAATGCACGCACAGGGGACTCCTCCAAAGAGCACCACCACCTCTGGGGTCCCCTCGTCCCTCACCAGAAGTAGCTGGGGAGGGGTGGAGGGAGGAGGCCAGGGAGGGGGCTGGGAGTCTCGGGGGTTTATTCCTGGGAACCCTACCCTCACCCCCCACCTGTGAGCCAGTGGGAGACATGAATCTCGCTGGCAGCAACTCCGGGCCAGCTCAGCCGTTTTCAGGGATGTTAATGAAATGCGGGAGCACTTGTCCTTTCAGACAGCGGCTCCTTTTATTTGGGAATGAAAAGCTGCATTAGTCTGAATGAGGTTTGGAGGCCTCATAAATCCGGCGCTGGCTGCCTCGTGGGGGAGCAGGGAGCCGAGGCCTGGCTGGTGGGTAGACTTGTTTACCAACAATGCGAAAAGCTAGGATTGGGGGCTCCCAATGGCCCGGAGGAGATGCGGCTGGAGATAGCGCCAGCCCTGGTGCCTGCTGGTGGCCGGGCAGCCTGGAGAGGCGTGTCATGCTGCCAGTGGGCTGCAGGTTTCTCCTCATGAGTTAGGGACGACTGGGCTCCCCAGTCTGCCCGTAAAGTCTCTGAATCCTATTCTGCTTTCAGCTTTCCACGGCAGGCAGCCCCAGTGGGGCTCCGCAGGGGAGTGTTGAGAATTGGCCCTTACCGCCCGTCCCCTACACAGCCCAGATGGTAGAGGACAGGGTTAATCCTGTGAACTCAGGAGTCTGCTGAGCCTGTATATGAACCTCGACACCTCACCCACTGGGGCCTGGCAAATGCTGATGCCCAATACATTTTAGAAGAAAGAAAGAAGGAAGGAAGGAGGGAAGGAGGGAAGGAGGGAAGGAAGGAGGGAGGGAGGAAGAACAGAGGGAAGAAAGAAAGGTCACATGGCAGCTGTGTGACTTTGGACCTCTTACTTAACCCCTCTGAGGCTCAGTCTTTATCTGTAAAATGGAGTTGTTATTTTAAACAAAGATCCTATCACAGTGGGTGTGGCGAGGAAGAGGTGAAGTGATGCGTGCAACATAGTGAGTATATTGTCTGGACCATAAAAACATGTCATAAATACTGGGGGTCATGGTGGGGATCGTCACTGTTGTTTCTGTTCTTGCAATGCATCCCACCCTCCCCCAGACTGGGAGGGAACATGCTGCTGTTAGTTTTGGGGAAACCTCTGTGTTAACAAAATGACTCGCTGCCAGGTCAAGAGAAAGGCCCAGCCTAAGGCTGGGGACAGCAGCTTCCCTCTGGCCCCAGGGTTCCAGCTGCCTTCCAAGTCCAGAGACTGGGCCCCATAGCCTCTGCAGCTGGGAGGCTGTTTCCCACCGCAGCCCTACGTGGCAGCAGAGAAAAAGCCTCCAACCGCAGCGTGCTGGGTAACTCCTGCCCACTCTGGGATGCAGGAGGAGCAGGCCCAGCCAGTGGGCCTACTTCCCTGGGCCACCGAAGGGGCTTGTAGGTGACAGAGCCACACTCTCGCCCTCTGGGGGCGTCAGCATCCACCTCTGCCTTCCTTTGCTTTTCTAGTACCACTTTCATGCTAGCTTTTTTGGAGGCTGTGGCTTCTCCTCCTGCCCTCCTCTCCTTATCCTTTCCGTCTGCTGGCCTCGGACCTGCTCCCTCCTGGCAGCCACACCTCTACCTTTCTGCTTCTCCAGTTCCCTGCCAAGCCACTTGCAGGCTGCCTGCAGAACAACCCCGGCAGAATGAGCATCCAGGAACTCCCCTTGCCTGTCCCCAGACCAGCCTTGGGCAATGCCTTTTTAGCCCTGCATCCTTGGCCTCAAGTTCGGGTCTCTTTCCCTTTCTCTATCAGCTCGCAGGAATTTTCTTCCTTAGAGAACAGCCAGGGCTTTTGGTTTCTTGGGGCAACCAAACCAGCTGCGGAGGCTGATAGGCAGGTGATGGGGAGGGGCGTGTCTTCAAGGAAGGGGCTCCCAGCTGTATCCCAGAGGGCCGGCCCTCTGCTCCCCTCTCCTGCACTTCCTCCTTACTCAATGGAGCCCTTACTCTCTATCAAGAGGTGGCAGCTGCTGCTTCCCTATCTCTGGTCTGAGTGTCCTTCCCTCTGATCCTCGGGCAACATTTTCCAGTGGCTGCTTGGGAAACCAGGCGCTCCTGCTCCAGGGCGAGAGAGGCCCAGCTTTGGCAGAGACAGACACCCGGTAACCGTTTGCTGGATTTTCGAGGATGTCCTCGGGACAGGCACACAGCTTTGTGTTCTTTTGTGAGGAGCCCAGGGAGGCTCTCCTCCCTACAGCCACAGTGGCCTCCGCCTCAAGTGGGAGGGCATCCCCTCCTAATTGGCAGGATTGGCCACACTGAGATATTCACATCCCCACGCAATGCCACTGGCCCCTGCACCCAGACAGGGAGGGGAAAAAAGAGAGAAATTAACAGGCGGATGAGAGCTCGGCTCATAGTATATTTGTAAGAAAATTAAAGATTTGCTCTTCAGATGTTGGAGGCCATGCTCTTACCAGACAGCTGGCAAATGGGAGAGATTGGAAACGATGGAATAGATCAAATTATTTAAATAAGAAAAATAAATTCACACACAGCCTAGCCGCTGCCCGGTGACAGATCCGTTTATTTATCTACTGTATCGGCCCGCTTTGTCTCTGTCAAAAAGGTCATTAAACTCGCCTAACTGCGTAATTCGCAGCCTCCTGCTCCAGCCTCGCTCCACAGCCCTTCCCTTCCCTCGACACCCAGCGCCACTTGAAAAAAAATTTATTATTGCTAATAAACAACGTTGTTTTTCTTTTCAACCCCTTTAGCTTGCTCCCCCACGGATCCTACTCCATCCCACGACAAATTAGTTTCTCTTTATTCTTTCTCAGGAGAATGAGGGAGGGGACACCAGCCCCTCCTGCACAGTTAGGAGAGAGGACTGAGAGGGAGTGTGCCCGGCGCACAAGCCCCCCTGCATCTAAGGCCTAAGGCGAGAGCGATCTTCCTCCTCCGCAGCCCCAGGACCCCTCTCGTGCGCTATCAAGTCCAGCTTCCCACAGCAGGGGGTCTGGCTTGGGTTCTCCCACCCCTACAGACTCCCGCAGCTTCCCAGGCCCAGCGTAGACAATTTTCTTATTCTGCTTCTCCGAACCCCTAGCTCCAACTCTGCTCCCGGGAGGAATGGGGTTGGGGAGGGAAGCCGGTTCCCCGGTCGGTCTCCCGCTGCCGCCGCCGTCCAGCCAGCTCCCGCCGCGTGGGAGCTACGAGGCCAGACTCCTCAGACGTCAGGCTCCTGGCCTCGCTGCTCCCGGAGGGCGCGTCTCCTCCAGCTGGTCCGGCCCCTGGGCTGCCGCCGTCTCCCAGCTCGCGGTGCCAGCTCTCGCGCTCCACGCCTGGCTCCCGGGCTCCGTGCCCTCGCAGTGGAAGGGACTGGGGCCGGCGGGGCCGATGGGGACGTCTGGGAAGCGAGGAGAGTCCTCGTTCTCCGGGCGTTCCCCCGCGCGGGGGCCAGGGTCCCTTTCCCCGCCCTCCGCGCAGGTGTGAGCTCCCGAGTGTGCGCTTCGGCGGGTGTGAGTGTGAAGTGTGTGTGCGCGGAGGACTGCGCGGAGGGAGCGCGGGCGGCGGGCGGCGCGGGAGGCGGGAGGCAGGGCGCGGGGGAGGGGGCTGGGAGGGAGAGTGTGCGCGCGTGCAACTCCACTCCGGGGCTTTGTGCGAGCCTGGGCGATAGCATCGGCGGCGGCTGGAGGAGGAGCGGCCGGAGACGCGTGCTGCCCGCCCGCCAGCGCCGGGCAGCCGGGGCAGGTGGGAGCCCGCGCGGGAGCCGAGCCGACGCGAGTCGGAGCCGCAGCCGAGTCCGAACGGAGTCCGGGCGGATCCCAGGAGCCTTGCTCGCGGGCAGCCCGTGGGCGGCAGCCAGGCAGGGCGGGCGCCGGCGGGGCGGCCCCCCAGTAAGATGTGCGCGGCGCCGCGGGGCGCCCCCCACTCGCAGCGGCGCTCGGGAGCCGGGCGGCTGGGCCAGGCGGCGCCTTCGGGGCTGCTGCGCGCCCGCGCCTAGAGCTGCCGCCCCAGGGAGCCCGCCACGGCCGCGCCCCGGGCACGCTCGGCGGCGCCCAACGATGACCGCTCCCTGGCGGCGCCGCCGGAGTCTGGTTTGGGAATACTGGGCCGGGCTCCTCGTGTGCGCCTTCTGGATCCCGGACTCGCGCGGGATGCCCCACGTCATCCGGATCGGTAAGGGCTCCCTGGAGCTGGGGGTCTTCGTGCGCCCGGGTTGGGGAGGGAATTGGCGGGGGGAGGGTGGCCTCCGAACGCGTTCCCGAGAGATTTTTCCTAACCTTTCTCCGGGCTACAGAGCTGGTGACCACCAGGAGCTCGTCCCGGTGAGGGCAAAGTTCCAGAGTCGGGGTCACGGGCCTTACTTATTGGGGAGAAGGCCGCCGGGCCGCATCGGGCAAGGGGCGCTTGGCGCGCTCCTGGGAGGTCAGACCCGGCCGAGTGTGGCGAAGGTTTCCAGTGCGATCCCGAGTCGCGGGCGCATCTCGCGGCGACTGCCAGCATGAAAGGCAGTCAACCGAGTTCTGCGATCGGGCTTCTCCGAGGAGTGGGAACCCTGGGGAAGGCGCCAACTTCTCTCCTCTCCCCTCCTCGCTCCCCGCGGGTCCCTCGTCCCACCTCGGGCAGAGCTCGAGCGGCCGCGGCGGGGTCGCAGGGCACCGATTAGCATGACGAGAGCAGTGGTCTTCTGTCCCAGTGGCCGCCCTTGGCCTCAGTGGCCCTGATTCAGCCCCGTGCCATGGGGCGGGGGTGGGGGAAAAAGCCGGTCCCTCGGGGCCGAGGCCTCTCTCCCGCCCAGGGCAGCGCAGGTAAACGGAAGGGAGCCCTGGAGGCCGCCCAGAGCGGTCCAGAGCTGCCCGGGCAGGCGGCCCAGGGACGCCGGCGGTTTTTAAAGTTAGCCCAAATCCCTCCGCAGCTGGCTGCGGCTGGCGGGGCTGCGCGCGGCTTTCCGAGGCTCCGGCTTCTCAGCGTATCTTTTCGCCCAAGACTCTTACTCCGGGCTTTAACTTTGTTGTGGCCGCCCAAGGCACCCTGCGGGCCTGAGCGCCGCGCTGGTCCCGGGCCTCCGACCGGCGGGGCTGGGCCTGGCAGCGCTACGCCGGAGCCTCCATCACCACGGCCCCTGCGCCCGCCGCCAGGCAGGAGACCTGGGCCGCCTGGGTTCACTCGGCGCCAGCACCAGCGTCTGGCATGAGGCGAGCTGGAGTCCGCCGAGCCATGGCCACCTTCCTCATCTGCAACTCTTCTCCAGGGCGGATCTTGGGCTGCCAGCGGCGTGAAAGAGGTGCCGGAACCGGTGTCGGGCTTGGTTTCCGTACTTGAGATTTTCCTGGAGGCCGCCAGAAACCTGGCGGGTGGGTCTCCTCCCTGGCGGCCGCTGGGAACCCGGACCCTCTTGAACTCCTATGTGGTTGGGGCAGAGCACAGTTCTCAGCTCTGCCCACGCTGATATCTTTCAGTCCATGCCCAGGACCCTGGCAAGCAAACACCGGCACCGGAGGCTGAGGAGGCCAGGCACGGGAGGGGACTCAGGGGACAGCCCTTATGGTCAGGCTTAACCCTTTGCAGCCCAGGCTGCTCCTGACAACCGAAATGTCTTCTATCCCTGTGCCTTTGCGTGCCCCGAGCCCAGCTTGGCACCATTCCAGGGTCAGGCAGCCCCCTCCCCCCCAGTAATGGACCAGCACTTCCTTTATTCCGTGTTTCCTCCCCTCTGCTTTTTTTGAGGAGGGTGCTGCGTCGTAGGGTGTCCTTGGGGGAAAGGGGGGGCACTGAGAGGATGTTATCTGCCCATCACATGGATTGCAGCTCCCTCTTCCTTGGTCCTTCCTCCACAGGGGTGGGATGGGTGTGCTCCCAGTTCAGCCTCAGGGCTAGAAGTCTTTGGAGGCCAAGAAAGACAGGCTCCTGTGAGGGCAGCCCCAGAGGGATAACTGGGAAGGTGCAGCATGATGTATCCTTACTGTGAAATTGAATGGGGTAGAGAGTTCCTCCCAACCCTTAGGAAGAGCATCCCCAAGTCGGCCCGCCGTTTCTTCGGTTCAGCGTGTAATAATGCAATTAAAGGATGGCAGAGCCGTCCTCTCTTCTAATCTTCTTCGTATTAAGCCCCAGGATTAATTAGCATGTCAGCCCAGGCCGTTTACATCCAAGAGCCCTGCCCCATTTGATTCTCAGCCCATGGACCGGGGTGTTGTGCCTGCGCCAAACGTGACCACCAGAGCTGTGCCAGCTTGGGCGGAGGATGGGAGGACTCCGAGGCCTCTGGGCTACTCTGAGCCTCCTGGGAAGCTGAATTTCTGTCCTTTTGAGCCCCTGCTCAAACCCCAGCTGGATCCAGGAAGCTACAGTGGAAGTGGACAGAGAACGAGGGCGAGAGAAAGAGAACGAGGGCGAGAGATGAGAGAGAAAAAGAGAGAATCTCATGCTAAAACCCAAACACACTGCCTTGGCTGGGCCCGGTGCCATCTCCCTTTTCCCATTCCCCCCCCCCCACCCCTGAGATCTCAGGGCTCTGACTGGGGCTATAAGAATTGAGGCCCTCTGGAGTATGCTGGGTGCTTCTGGTTCTCAAGACTGGTGCCTGAGCCAGCTGAGCTTGAAGCTGAATCCTTCTCCAGAAGCCAGGCGTCGCCGAGCACCCGGCCAGAGGGGGTTTTCCTGCAGGTGTGAGAGGGGCTTTCTGGGCTGGGGAGCATCATACCTGCCCCCTCTCTTTGTGCCTCTTTTGGGGGCTGAAATTTCCTCTTAGACAAGGAGATGGATAGCTCGGCAGTGTGACAGAGTGTTCAAACAATCCGTCTTGAATAGATGAATTGCATTGCTCTGTCTTTTTGTAATTGTGTCTATCAGAGGGAGAGGTCAAGGCATTGATTGCTTGGATGGTTTGCAAGTAACAAAAGAGAGTGAGGGAGAGAGCAAGGGAGAGAGAATAATTGGATTGTAGTCTGCGGGAAAAAATGATCATTGATTATTTTATGTGAATATGTGGAAGATGTATTCTGTGTATGATTATCAAATGTTGCTCATTGAAGGTTTTCAAGGCATAGTGTTTGGCATTTTATTATTATTATCATTGTTATTATTGTTTAGATGAATCCTGGTCTTAACTCATGGAAGGCAGTTTAATGCATGGACCCTCTCAGCCAAATGGGCTTCAGTGACCTCCCGTGGAGACCTGAATTTCCAGGTTGCATGACCCCAAAGCTGTAATGGAGGGGCTGCTGGGCTTGGAACCAGGGGGTCTGGGTTTTCTGCCACATCTGCCACCAATTTGCTGGGCCATTTTGATCAAATCACATCTCTTCCTGGCACCCCTGGCCTCAGTTTCTCCATCTGTAAACTATTTGGTTGGCCTTAATCGTTGGTATGTTCTGTGGTTTCAAGGTTCCCTTTAGTGCAGGCTGGCGGGCACTGTTATGCCTTGTAGGTGTCATGGTTCATTCTTCCCTCACGTTACTGACATATGTAGGATCGAGGGCCAGCCCGGAACTTGAAAAGGAAGCTAGACAGTGGTGGCAGCAGCTGGGGAAGCCTGGCCAGGTCTTTTGTGCATTGAGGAGCTCAAGTGGATGGTGACGATCTCCAACCAGCCAGTGGGGAGGTTTGAAGCCAAATGACTGCAGAGACATAAAGCAGGTGTGTGGGGGGCGGGGAGAGGGAAGGGTTGGCCCAGCTCTGGACTCGGAGCATCTACAGATAGAGCAGAATTGAGCTGCAAAGTGTTGAGTTTCCTGAATGTACAGAGGCCCAGCAGGCAACAGCAGCCCCTCCCTGGGGAGAGAAGCCCCCTCCCTCAGACTTCCCAAACCAGCCCCATCTGTAACTCCTCTGATCGGTTCACCCAAATTATCCGAACATTCATCTCTTGAGTTTGGGAGCCGCTGTGTGTAAAACAATGAGAAATTTCTTGCAGTGACTGGTGATGCACTGAAACATCGCTGCCTTGTAGGAGCAGACAGCAGCTGAATGAAGATCAATAGGGTTTTCCCCCCTGGAAGTAAATAGCTTCAGACAAGACCTGGGAGTGGCCCACGGGGCCTTAGAGAGCATTAACTTGAGGAATTTCTCGCTCCACTTTTCAGCCCAGCTGCTGCTGTCAGCCCCAGCTTTCCTCCTTCTCAACTGGAGTTTAATGTTTTCCTGACGCCTACTTTGCATTGCGCTAAACAGTCTTTCGACGTCAGGATGACCTAGGGTTTTTAGAGGTGGTTTATGCAAGGTCAGCCAGGCATCCTGGACTCACTTCCAAGGTCACCTGCATCCCCCTGTAGCCGGCAGGATGGCTGACTTCGGAAGTCTAGCTCATGTGCTGTTTTCAAAGGGCTTTGTGGGGTGGCTCTTCATCTGTGACCCCTCCAGGAATGCAAGCTGCCTCGCTGCTTTTAGGATCCTTTGTGGAGCCTGTGAGCCTTCCTGAATTCCCATGTTTTCGCAGGCATTCTCTGTCCCAGCCCCAGGAAACAGTCCCCTCCATGGGGGAGGAGCACAGATGCCTCTCCCCGCCCCCACCACCGTAGGCAGTGGAACTACCCTTCCTCTTGAGAGAAGTAGAAGGCCATATGCAGGACAGACTGCAGGTCTGCTTCCTGGAGGGGGTTCTTTTAGGGGAAGACCTGTTTGATTTCAGTGACTGGGACTTTGTTTCTGGTCTGCTGAGGTGGCCCCTCCTTTACCTGCCACAGCACCTGCCCCTGTCTCTTCCTGCCGTAGGTACAGCCTGATTTGGGCTTGCCTTGCTTGCTTAGGACCTTCCAGAGGGAACTGAGAGAGCCGATGCTTCGCTCCACTGGGCAGAGCGGAGAGGAACTGGGGGGCCTCCCACATCCCGCCTGGCAACAGAGAGGACCGATGTTGCAGGAGCAGGGTCCTCCTTGAGGCTGGCACCCAGCAGGCACTTGCTTCTCCTCCAGAGGCCGGTATGGTAGAGCTGCAGCTCCGGACAGACAGATGCGCCAAGGGCTTGCCTGGCGCAGAAATGGAGCTGATGCAGATGGGGCTGGTGCCTTGGCCTTGGGTTTGGTTCCTGGAGTCGCTTTTCTCCCAGGTGCTGATTCTTCAGCAGCAGCACCAGAGGGCAGTGTGCCTGTGCTGAGATGGCCACCGCTGTGTCTCTTGCCTGGGGCCCCACCTGGGCCTGGAGCAAAATCAAAATAATGAAACAGCAATGACGACAA